ATCTGCTATTTTTATAATATATTAGTACAGTATTATTAGAATATATTGATATTATTAGTATATCTGAAATACAGATCTCCCATTGGAATTTGGCTTGCTCCCTTGTTTATTACGTACATCACCTCAGTGCAGGGTATTTACATTTATTCAAGTGTTGTGCAAATCACGGCTTCTAATAAAGCAGAAAGGTGATTTCAATTGAAACAAAGCAAGAAATCATCAGAAGGAGTGAAAGTTGACAAAAACTTCCTTGTCAAATGGGGAGAGGTTCAGGAGTTTACCAACACTCATTATCCAAACAGNAACTTTTTATATATTTAACTATTATAAAATGGCAAAAAGTTTTACTTTGAGGGTAGGGACGGGTTTATTAAAAATTGTAAATGATAATAACGAGGAAAATCGTCATTAAATCCGACCGTACTAAAGATACACGCGACCCCCTTTATCTTTCCATCCTCTCGAACTTTAATCACCAAAATTTAACAGTATCGATCTCCCTAATAAACAAACCTCTAGGCAAAATTTCAGAAACTTTCCACAAAAAACACGGGAGTTATTAAGCTTCAAACGGGATGAACAAAATCGTGCCCCCATTCATACAGAAAAAAAAACCCCGATTTTTGCATTTCTCGACGTTCGAAGGTTCCTAGTCCAAAACTAAAAATCTTGGGAGGATCATTTTTTTGACCGATGGTCATATTTTTCCTCTATTATATATAACAGAAAGGGGAAAGTAAAAGCGCGTTACTACACAAAAATAGAGATTTCCAAAGGTTTGGCCTGTCTGTCGATAATATTACTATATCTATACTCGTACTTTTACATTTTGATTCACACTCGCACGAAACGTTTTTCTCCCTTCCTATAAAAATGTTCTAGGAAAAAGCATCTACCTGTGTTTGACATGTCGGACGGGTTTGCTTATTTTGTGCATACGTCCGTTTGAACGTGTCAAATTCACCATTTTCTGCGCCACGGCCACACTTCGGAAATGGAAAGAGAGGAATCAATCGCACCAATTCTCGACAGACATTTTAAAGTCTTTCGATATATTTGACTGGCGCTAAAACGAATATATCTTTCTACCGTATTTATTGAAATTATTACGTGTCGGTGGGTTTATTAGCTCGTACTTTTTACTTTCGGTCGCTCGGTGTGGAGCGTATTAAACACCTCCGCATACAGCGTTAAATTCGTTTTTCTCTATTCCACAATCTGGAGTAATTTGATTAATTTATAAAATATATTACATTTGTAAAAATGGTAACTAAAATAATTTATAAAAATGGAAGTTCTTTAAATCAATTTTAATGCGATACCTGAACTTGTTGGCTTTGCAGATTTCAGCAATGTCAGGTCTAATATGTAATATATCTATCCTCTAAGTCCAGTGGAAAATGAAAGGCATTGGGTCAATTGTTCAATGTCATGAAAGAACAGCCTTTTAAATAGCCTATAACTATCTTATAGCAGGTCTCATAAAGTAAGAACACATTAATTTTCAGATACCTAAAATTATTTATCCATTTCCTTCATCTAAAATTATGTAATGTGATGTGAATGTAATGTGAAACACACAAAGGATTGTGTGTTTCACATTACATTCAGCCTGTATTACAGAAGGCCAAATGACAGGCAGTTAAGGCATCAACCTGTTGCTCTAGGGACCAAGAATTGAATCTAGTGGTAAGAAAAATCTTAGGAACCTTTCAAGGGTTGATCTGTCCCATACAGGGTGCATGAAAAGTTCGGTCAATTTTTTGAAATACTTCAACAGTATAAAAATACTGTACAAATAAATAAATTCACAAAACTAAACAAACAACAAATTTTATTCAATGAATAACAATAAGCAAAAAAACTTACAATAAATACTCAAAATTGCTTCCTTGGGCTTCAATGTATTTACATAGTCGCTTGCAAAAAGTTCCAATAATGGTCGCGCATTCTTCCATCGAAATTTCGTCCCCGGCACGCGTCAATGCTGCTTTCAACTGGTCCATGGTGCATATTGTGTTCCCGAGATTTTTTGCTCCAGGATCAACCACACCAAGTAGTCCAGCGGGTTAAGATCTGGCGAGTTAGGTGGCCAAGTGTCTTTGCCCCAAAAGCCCAGAAACAGCGCTTCACAGACGATAATTGTCGATTGGGCCGAATGAGTCGGTGCCCAGTCTTGCTGAAGTGTGAATCCTTCTGGACCGAAGTGCTGCGACGCTCACGACTCCAATACGTCGTGTAGGACCCGTTGCTGGTAGATGACGGCGTTGATCTTGGCGTTCTGCTCAATGAAGACCAGCAGCATCTTCCCAATGGTGCAGATGCTGGTCCACACCATGACTGAGGCTGGAAAATAGCTGCAACCAATGGTTTTTGAAGCGGCAGTCTTCTGTTGACCCTTCTTGAGCAACTCTCGATGGTTTTGGCGGTTTTGAAGCAGCTCGAGGGTGAAAATCTCATCAGCGGAGAGCACCTTGTTCATGCGACCAGCCGACACATTCAGCGAGCTTTCTCAAGCCTTTATTGCTTCATTTAAGAAGTGGACGCGGGCGATCTTGTAGCTGCGAAGTCCCAGTTTCCTCTTACAATATTATGGACTCGCTCCTCACTGATTTGGAGCTCCTTGGCCGTTTTGCGCATGGACACCTCCAGATTGCGACGAATTCGGCATCACACCTTGTTATTCTCCAGAGTGGTTGTGGTGGTTGGACGACCGCTCCGAGGACAGTCCACAGTCCCTCCAGTCTCCTTGAAACATTTCACAATCCTGTAGACCAGGGGTGGCCAACAGTTTTTGCCCCGGGCCAAATTGGAAAGAAAACTTTTTTCACGGGCCGAACCAGAGACTGCCCTAGGAAGATTTTTAGGTGATGCGATATCTCATTGTGGTGTCACTCTGTAGAGACTAAATTGTACATAGAGATCACAGATACATTTTTCACATTATCATGCATTATCGACATTGTACGCTGTGCTTAAGACAGTTGTAATGGAGCGTTAGCTCTGAATGCACAGTGAGTTGTTGACCTTTTTTTTTAGGCATCAGAAGTTTTCGTCGAGCTGTTCGGACTTAAGTAGCTAATATTGAAAGATTAATCGTGGGCCACATAAATTCATTAGACAGGCCAGATCCAGCCCGCGGGCCATATGTTGGCCACCTCTGCTGTAGACGGTCCTCTGTTGGAAACCAGTTGCACAAACAATGTTGGCTGTCTTCATTCCCAACTTGTGCAACTCGACAACAATGATACATTAATTTTCATGAGATAATAACGTTAGCACAACTAAAAATCAGGGCTGTGGAGTCGCGTAAAAATCTACCGACTCCGACTCCGACCAGGGGCGGACTTGTTACCGAAAGAGACCCGGAAATTCTGATGTCATCACGTGACCTCAGAATAAAAGATTCAATAGAGTTCTAATAAAGATAGAACGTAGAAACTTTTTATTTCAAAGCTAAAAGATTCCTCTAAGTAATATATAAATATGTATTCGATAATTTTTACTTTTCCGGCTGTTATACAGTATATAACAGAGGATATATAACAAAGTGTAGCGCTCGGTCAAAAAAATGACNTAAAAGATTCCTCTAAGTAATATATAAATATGTATTCGATAATTTTTACTTTTCCGGCTGTTATACAGTATATAACAGAGGATATATAACAAAGTGTAGCGCTCGGTCAAAAAAATAACCCCTCCCAAATTTTTACATTTTTGGACTCAGAACACCTTGCAATTTCGAGTTAATTAAGCAAAAGATTCGAGGTTTTTTCTATATGTGTGGATGTTAGACTGTGGGGGGGCATGATTTTGTTCACCCTGTTTGAAGCCTAATAATTTCTGTGGTCAGAGTGGTCAGAATCAGAGTCAGATGGTTTAACACAGGAGTTAGTTATTAGGCGTCAAAGTGGTTGAACTAAATCGTATCCCCATACACATTCTAACATCTTAGGCGAAAATATCTTAACGGTTTTACTGTACTATTATAAAATGACAAAAAAAAAGCTTACTTTGAGGGTAGAGACGAGTTTTATTTATTATTTTTTATTTTGAATGCTAATAACGAGTAAAATATTCATTAAGACATATGACACATGACCCCTTTTATGTCTTCACCCTGTCGACCTTTAATTAAGAATCAAAATTTAATAGTATTAATGTCCCTTTATACGCAAGCTACAGTGCTACATTTCATTTCTTGAACTTTACCCATTCTGAGATATTGTTTAATATCTCAGAACAGAAAATAAAGAAATTAAACAAATTAGACGCCAACACACACAATTTTTCCCCTTTTATTGACTTTTTTGAGGGGTTCAGAAGGTCTCCAAACGTGTAGATTTGCAAAAAAAAACATGGAGGGTCAAATTTGACACGATTCCAATACTTTTCCGTTTTACATACATAACAAGTTGGTAATTAAAAAGCAGTCGGAGTCGGCAGATTTTTTGACGACTCCGACTCCACAGCCCTGCTAAAAATAATGATTAGAGCACTTTCTTGATCAAAATTGCACGTGCAATCCAATAAAATCATAAAAACTAACAAAAAATGCAATGGCAAATGCCAAAAATAAAATTGACAGAACTTTTCACGCACCCTGTTTATGTTTGACCTCATCCTTCACAACCTAGCTACCCCATTGCAGTGTAGCCAAAACTCACAATAGGTACAAGTAAAAGGCCCACTTAGTGCATATGGGCAAAGAGTAATCAAAAAGCTTGCATTACTTATCATTTACATTGAATCAAAGTGGAGACATATCTAAGTATATAAACAACAGAATTTGCAGTAAATTTTTATTTACCTGAAACACTTTTCTTAAGTGATGTGTACAAATAGTCTTACAGACTGCTTTATGTAGCAGTATTAGTATTCTCTCATAAAAGTCAAATGACAAAAAGCAAAATATGTAAAATATCAATAGATTGTTAGGCAGAAACCAATTTTTATTTATGGTGAGTGTGCATTTTGAGAATATGCTAATATATACATCATTTTCAATGTTAAAAGAATATTTATTTAAATTATAATCTAAATGTACAAAAATAACAATATACACATCATTCTTTATATATAGTCCAGTTGGAGTTTCCCATTGTTAATTCGTTTTCTGGGCCAATCAAGGAAACTGAACACAATCCATCTGCAGACAAATATCTACATAATAAAAAAAATCATTATTTACCATTTGAGAATGTGCTTCCATTCAAAATTAAGAATGTAAAATACTTAGAAACTGCTTGACGTAGGTTGTCTCCATTCACCACAAATAAATTATCTCTGTGCCTCTGTCTGATATCATCGCTTAATCTGTCGAGAAATAAATACAATCCTTTCCTGCCTGGAGGCACTGGTTTATCCACCTACAAATATAATGTTTTATATTTGAGGACAGCAAAAAATAATTACTACTACTATTTCAACATATTTCAATGTTATAAATCATCTAATAATTATTATTCATCATTATATCATCTCTTAGCAAATATACTTATTATAAGATTACATTATACATTCAAAGTACCAGTATATGAAATAAAAATGATAGACAGACACTTCCACAAATGAGCATAGTCCAAAAGTCAGTTAATCTTAGCTTATAAGATTCTAATCTGTTATCTATTAATTAGTAATAAATAATTATAAGAGTCTGCTGGCCTTATTGTTATTACAGATTCATCAAACACCTTTCCAATTTTTATTCATTAATGCATGACCTCCAGAATGTATTTTTGTTTATTCAACAGCCCTCTTCAGCTGAGTTAAATATATACTTTCAATAACATGGTATTATAGATAAAATACACATAAAAGAATCAAATAAATGAAAATACAACATATAAACTGTCATTTATCTAAATATATAAAATTACTTGTTCTGACTGACTGAGTGATTGATTCATCATTGCCCGAGCAAACTGCTGAACCTAAAGAGGTGAAATTTAGTACACAGATTACGTCATGGAAACGCACATTAAGAAGGCATTTTTTGAAATTTCCCCGCAGAGGGAAAAGGGAGAGCATTAAGGCTTAACCTGAAGAACGGCTTCTACTGTACTATTTTAGATGCAATTTTTTGTTTTTAACTATGTTTTAGTAGGGTATGCAATGAGAATGCACACCAAGGGATTTTTGGAAAGCTGTTCTTCAGGTTAAGCCTTAATCCTCTCCCCTCCCCTGCGAGGAGGAGAGGATTAAGGCTTAACCTGAAGAACAGCTTTTGAAATTGATTCCCATACTTTTCCTTAAATTGATAACATTTCAGACATTGTTATAAATATTTTTATATATTTTTATTTTTTAACCAAATGTTCAAACCGTTTTAAATTTGAATTTATTATTGCATATTGGTTCGATTATAGAATGATTGTAAACGGTCCAGAGAATTGATCAAATTGAAAACAGTTCATTTGATTCTCAGCAATTCTCATCATTCTCAGCAGTAGGTGTTATATAACAATTACTATGATTGTTGAAATACTGAATATAAATGGTGTTTGCTTGCAAAATCTGCACAGGTAAAGTCACGGTAACAGCTAGTATTATTATATAACTAACCACGTACAACATCATAACAAATTTTTATGAATTTTTTTATAATTATGTTAAAATACCAGACATCGTAACAATGCTTAAAGTTAATTCTATATCATATACAGTGGTACCTCAGGATACGAACGCCCCAGCATATGAAATTTTCAGGATACGACATGGAATTCGAACATATTTTTGCTCCACAATACGAACAAAAACTCACCATACGACGTTACATTAGTTCGCAGTGCCATTTTTTATTCACTTCTGTTCATTGGTCTCAGTCCGCGCGTTTGCTTCATCGTGGAAGGATCTCGCTCAATAAAGGAAATCTTGAGGTATTATCAGAAAGTGGCTGATTTTATTGAAAAGAAACATCCCAAAAAGATTCACACTGGCCGTATTGCTACTCGGAGTAATGACATTTGCCTAAGTCATTTTAGAAAAATTTTAAAAAGTAGGCAAAGCCTAGCACTTTTGATAGATATTTTACCAAGTGATCTCTATCCAGTGAAAGTGCTGTTGGAAGTGAAGGAAAGAAAGCAAAAAGCAGTGAATAAAAATTAAAAAATATATATATAAAACAACACTAATTTTATCTTTTCTAAGTTATTTTTAAGTTATTGTTACATTGTTATGTAAGTTTAGTTTTAGTATCATTTCCCTTCTCCCTCTCTTCCGCCACCAGTTTACACAGCCACCATCGTCTATCCTCAAAGTTAAAGTGCAAACAAAACTACATTTTTTTAATCAATTATTATTCTATTATGGTTATTTATACATTTACAACTACAAAACACATTTTCAGTGTTTTCCTTACTATAATTATTTTTTTTCAATGTACTACTTAGCTTTAATTTGAGTGTGTTTTTCGTGTTGGAACGAATTATTTGGTTTTACATGTAATCCTGTGGGGAAAAATGATTCACCTTACGACATTTTCATGATACGATCTCAGTTTCGGAACGGATTAATTTCGTATCCTGAGGTACCACTGTACATTGTTGTATGATATTCAGTTCTTGGTGGTGTTTTCATTTTGGTATATTCTTTATCTTCTTTTTCAAATCAGTTAATCTTGTTTTTGTTGTATTTTCTAGGTACACTTATGTTCACATTCATGTTTTCTTTTAAAAAATGAAAATGTATTAAAGTACTTGAATAAGATCATTATAAATTAAATAAGATCATTATAATCATTATAAAAACTAAACAGGTGACTTTTAAGCCACTCTGTGTATTAGCCAAGTTCAAACATCTAGTCAACTGGGTCAAATGCATGTTATTTCCACCATCCAGTTTGTATCGTAAGAAGAAATTGGTTTTCATAACACTGGCCATTCCATACCTGGGTCCCATTTCATTACATATTTGTTGAGTTTTCAAAAAATTTAGCTATATTTTGCCACTAGCACCCCAGATCATCTTACATGGGATACTTTGTAATGATAGAGAGGTTACATTCTGAAAAATCTGGGGTATATACTATACTCTTACAAAATCTTCTAACTGGGCAGAAAGTATTATATATTGGAACCACTACTAGAATGCTCAGCCTCTATCTCAGAACATTGTGATGATGTAGCATGTAACAAATGTACAACAAGCGATAGAAAGTAACTTTGAGCCACTTTGGTTGCAAACTCCCCTCCTAAAATGCTGTGGGAATCAAAAAAACATTATTCATATGGGAATCACTTTGCATCTTAACATTGTCACCATGCAACTTTCCATGTTAGATATACTGGAGTTGTGGATAGCACTGTTTAATCTTCTAAAGTTGTAAATCATATGGTTCCAATAAAACGCCTCGTAGCAACATTAGCACCACTATACATTTATTATTTGTTTATTGACTGTTTAATTTATTATTATTTATGTATTTTACTTTAATCTAATTTTATTCTAGATGTTTTTATTTTATAAATCATCATATTTTGTATTATTGTGTAATTTATATTTTCCATGTGTGTGTGGGACAAGCAATTTGAAAAAAAAAAAAAAAAACAGTTAATGTTCAGGTTCTTTTTCTTAATTTCAAGTGTTTTGTTCTCTATGAATGATTCTGCCTGAAGAGGACTGTTATATACTGTTGAAAGTACTCACAAAATAAGTTATTTTACGTAATGCCGACAGACAGTTGTATGTGTTATCTTTTTTTTTATTAATATTTTGCATGTGTAGCTACCGTAACATGATAGTTGAATCATAAGAAAAGGCCCCCAAAATCTGGGGTCGTCTTATATGACAGATACAAAAAAAAAAAAATTAGATGAAATTTATATAAATTAAAACCATTATAAAAAGGGACAAACTGTAATTATTTACTAGTAGAGAGTAGGGTATGTCCACAAAATAGAATAGCCCATGCGATATTTTTGTGAATAGTCAAGGTTACCTGAATGTCTGAATCAGTGCGAATGTTTGCAACAATAGCAAGACAGTGCTGCCAGATGCAAGAAAATAAAATTTGTTATTTGAAAAATTACGAATTGGACATAATTCCGTATGCGCTATACAGTGTTATTATCCAAATGATGATCGCTGATCTAAACAAAATTCAATAGGTCATCGATAGTTTGGGATCATCTTACAGGACAGATAATGCTAAAACTATAAAACTTCAACAAAAATTTATACCTCGTCTTATCTGCGCAGATATATGGTATTTAAAACTTTATCATTCTGTATATAATTTATATTGAACGATAAAACATTTTCTCAAATTTTGTTTTGTCTGACTAATTTAGAAATATCTCTACAAGATGAATAACTTAAAATTTTTTATATCATAAAACAAGTTGCTTTAAATAAATAATTTCCAACATGAAGAAGGATAAAAATGTTCACTTACTTTTAATAAAAACTGATAATTATCCATTATCAAGGTATAGAACAAAAAGAGAACTAAAACATGTCCATTTACCTGAAGACAGAGATAACACAGAACTCTGGTAACATACAGCAAGTTTACAACAAGCAAAATTTTTATATTTTGGAACATGCTAATTTTGATAACATTAAATGAGTGTTATCAGAGTATAACCAAGCCAAGATTACTGTAAAAATTGTTTTCATTAAAAAAAAAAAAATAGACAGATTAAACTTTGGTTGCATTTCTTTATGCAGCGCTGCTCGATTGCTACACAGCAAAGTGTTTCTAAATGAAGCACTATAATATAGCAAACCATCTCTACATGTTTGCTGCAAGAGATTCCTGCAGCAAAGATAAAGCAGCTTTTATGTCTGCTACACATGTAAAGCAAAATGAACACTTATGTGTATAATACAATATTATGCTGTGAAAATAAAAAAGTTGAAGTGACTGTTGATAAAAATATTATGGAAAGATTAAGAAGACTTAAATTTTATAAAATGACTCTGAAAGTTATCTAAAGAATAAGAAAATACTATATTTTTTAAATATAATTATCTATCTCTTATCTCTTTACTTTCCTCACATTTTCAGAAAGAGAAATACTCAATTCTTTATATCTATTTATTTAAATATTGTAGTTCTTTAACTAAAGCACTACTTTTGGCTGTAACTAGAATTAAAGGATAGATTACAACATCCATGTTTAGCTCGAGCAGAAAGCGTTTCTAAACTATAATGCAGTGACGTATAGTGATAGCTGCTCATGACGTCATTTTTGCTAAACTCGCTACATAAAAAAGCACAGCCTTTTCATTACCTTTTAAGACAAGAATTATTTTGCATAGATCACAGCAATCTACTCTTAAGTATTTATATATTGGACAAGGACACACACATACACACATATTTACATATATACTAGCAGATGAGCTTGGTGTTGCTCGGGCAAAAAAATAACAATGGCAAAGATTAAGATTATTAGATTATTTCATACTTCTAACCCTTCTATTATATTATATTACGGTGTTTGATTTAAATACTTACAAAGGTTATATTACATAAGAGTTTATCATACTGAGTGCCCAATCTAACACATTTTAAAAATTCTTTAAATTGTGTACAGTAGAGGAGTAAAGAATTTTACTCCTCTATTAAATGTATTAGATTGGTCATTCGGTGTGATAAACACTTACGTAAGATAACCTTTATAGTTATATAATTCAAGTACTGTACTATAATAAATATTAAAATGAAAACCCTTTATATGGTTTTTGTTTTAATATTTAATAAAAATTTATTTAAAATAGGTTTGCTTTTATACAATTTTTGTCTACATTTTAAATCAAATTTTTTAATGCATTTTGGTAATTATTGATTAAAACCCATAATCTCTAAGTCAATAATAAGTGTTAAATAAAACAATTTTGATCATCTGCAATATTTACACCCAAGGAAGAATGTTTTAAAGAAAATGAATTCTATGGTCAAAATACTTCATTTTATTTTCTGCAAATTTATTGATCATTTTGTTTCCTTTGCCTTATAAATTATGTTTTCAAATTAGTTTGAAAATTATATCATATCAAAATAAATGATTATAACTTAAATATATAATAAATACTTTTTTATGATTAATAGTTCCATTTTCCACCAAACGACATCAAGAGGATCTACTCTCATGTTTATTGGAAGGTCAGGCAGACTTACAATGGAGATGACTGAATGAAGGATGTCAGTCCCTCAAACTCAATCACCTCTATTGTATCATTTGGTCAAATTCTAAAAACTTCTCAGATTCTGATCTGGATTCAAACTTGGGAGCTCAGAGTAACAGACAATGCCTTTACTGCCTCAGCAATTATATTACAGTACAGTGGGTGATTGGTTAACGAACAATTCAGACTACAAACAAATCGGACAATGAACAATTTGTGAAAGATTTTTATGTTTGGATAACAAACATTTCACAGAAACACTAAAAGAAGCAACATAAAATTACAAATACTGATTGGTTTTCCCTTGTCTCCAGGTAACAATTTGAAATCTTTTGGAGCATGAGAGATGTTGACATCGAAACTCAACCCAACACCGATCGAATAGTATTCCTCTGAACTTTCAACTATCCATTGTAATTCCAGCTTTTTGTTTACCTTTCTGACAAATAATTTTTTATAGTCTTTGTGAGACTGTTGGGAACTCATTAAGTTTGCATTTGTTTTTATTTTCTAAAGGTGAGAGTTTAACTGTCCTATCAGATATTCATTAATGTTTTAACACCAAAATTTCGAATTTCATTCAGGCCTCACATTTACATAATTCTTTCGTGCGCTAGTTGATTTCTGTTCTCTGAATTTTTGTGAGTGCTTTTCTGAACTTTTTATTTCAAACAGAAACTGATAATATTATGGAGCATAAAAAGAGTGGAGTGTCAAGAACCGTGCTCACCATAGAAACCAAGCAAGAGATAATAGCCAAAGTAGAGAGTGGGCAGAATATGTATGATATTGCTAGGCAGTGTGGCATGAATAGATCTACAGTAGGCACAATCTTAGCTAAGAAAGATATAATCAAGAAGACTCAAGCAGCTAAAAGAGTAACAAAAATCACATCTGAGAAACAAAGATGTGCCCATCCATGAAAAAATGGTGAGACTGCTTTTAATTTTGATAAAAGAAGGGGAAATGAGATGTAACTAGTAGGGTTTCTCAAATGGGATCCCGGTTGTTTTTTAACTCATGAAATCTCGTAAATTTCTTAAAAGTTCACTTTTTTCTTATTTTGTGTTAAGGTTGAGGAAATTTCAAATAGAAAGTATAATTAACTCAAAAACTATCATAATACATTTGTATTTATTAATTTTAAACCTACTTATTAGTTTTTTAAATTTTTGCTCATTATGGTATGTCACAAATGGTCAATAATCAATATGTAGCTTATTTGTGGCAGGACTCTGAAAATTCTTTACTTGTAATATCTGGAATAATTGTGCTTATGCTGTCTTAATTTTTAACCATGCCTGGTAGCTTCAATAACTGCATAATGCTAGATTGTGCAAATTGGGAAAGAATACAAACAAGTATGAAGTCTTCAAGTATGAAGTTTTTCTTCATAAACCTGATTATTAAAGATGAATGTACTGCCAAATTAGCGGCTATAAGCTTGATATTTCTATTAAAGCAGCCAAAGCAGACAAATCAAGAATACTAGACAGGAAAAGTAGTACTACAATCTCAAAAACAAACTGGAAATCTTCCAGGTGAAAAAATACTTAACATCTGTCTTCTCTTTAATCATTAAACACGATTCCACTCACATCAATTGAATCAGAAAGGGCATTCTCAGTAGCAGGACTTTTCATTATTAAAATAAGAACTAGGTTGGGTGATTGGAGTATATATAGATCATCTTTGCTTTTTAAAATCTTATTATAAAAATTTACAATAATATTTTGTATTATGTTTTTTTTAAAAAACGAAAATTACCTTTTAAGTTTAATCTAAGTTCATTTTTTTAAATTTTCAACTCAATTCAATTCAATTTTATTGTTGTTGTATGCAGTTTCCAGCAAACTTTAATAAATTTTTTCTATTTGTAAAAATTTCTATGTAATTCAAAGGTAATTTTTAATATATATCTTACACAGCATTATTAATATGATTTTGGAGGTTGCAGAATATATTAAATTACTTTAAAAAATGAAAAATAATTATATCATTTGATTTCAAGATACTTTGTATATCTTAAAAATAATTAATTCTATCCCAGATCCTGGGAAAAAGTTCATTTTTCCTGAAATCCTGGGACAAACAAAAGACCAGGAAATGACAAACCCTAGTAACTAGTATGACTATCATTCAAGAGAAAGCTATAGAAATTTTTAAAGAACTGAAGAAACAAACTCCACATTCATCCTATGAGAAGATAGAATTCAAGGCTACCACTGCATGCTTTGCAAAGTTTAGAAGGAGAACTGGCATTAAACATTTGGTAATTCATGGTGAGTCTGCTAGTGCAGATAAAGAAGAGAGAAGTTTGGTCTCAAATTTGAGAATTCATTTAAAAAAAAAGGATATTGTCCACAACAAATTTTCAATTGTGATGAAACTTGTTTATTTTGGAAGCAATGTCAAACTGTACCTAAATCACAAAAGACAAAAAAAATGGAAGAACTCCAAGAACTCTTGAGTGAAGAACATGAGAAACTCAGCAAGATGTGTTTTCTTCTGAAAAAGCAGATTTATGCCGATATCTGTTATTAAAGGCATTTTGAAGAAGAGGGAGGATGTCAGAACAATGGTCTTAGAATGGCATCCAAACCAGGTTGAGATTAATAGGCTTGGGGATCTCTACAATTACAATGCTATTAATTACTTCTGATAATCCTGAAGAAGAGAGAAAAGCAATTGACATTGGATAGATTCTTTAACATCCCACAAATGGAAAAACAACATGACTGATAAAAATGCAAGACTGTGTATATATGTATTTTTATTATTACATATTAATAAACATAACTTTTTATTTATTTTTTGGGGTCTCCAGAATGAATTAATCAAATTCCCATAAAAATCTATGGTAACTTGATAATTGGTTAACAAACAATTCGGGTAGCAAACACAATCTTGGAATGGATTATGTTTGTTACCCGATCACCCAGTGTATTAGAATAATTGAATATAATTAATATTTCTCTAAGATTTGTTTTTTTAAATTTTAAAATATTTTTTATCAATGATAAGCTAGAAAATGGCAAAGTTAATTACATCTCCAAAAGTCCTTAATTTTGCTTCATGAATATCTTCTGATGAAAAGTCACCATTCAGTAACCAATGAACAGAATCTTGAAATGCCTGTAGAGTTTTCTTAGTATTTGGATCTCTGTTATAAAAGAAGATTTTTGCTTCAATAATAAAAGTACAAAAATCTGTATTCAATTATTAATTTATTTAATTTACCTGTAGGAAAAAAAATTAAAGGTCCCACCCGGAGACTGGAAACACCCTCCTCCATAAGCACCACCACGTTCTCTAAACATTAAAAAATGAAAATGAACAGAATGCTATAGGTTATGTTAAAATACAGTAGAGCCTCGAAAACTCGGCCTAATGTAGACCAAAGGGTGGCCGAGTTTGTGAAAATGCCGGGTGATCGGGAATGGCAATAAAAAAATAAGTACGAGTGTGTAGTTTTCAGAAAATACTGTACTATACTTGTATGTATCGTTCACTTGAAAATACAACAAAGAATAAACTGCCCAAATATCCTTAAACAAAAGAAAAGTATGTCTTTTATGAAGGCATAGAGCCTTTACTAAATGAAAATGAAAATTAATGAATACATTGTACAGTAATTTACCTGATAAGACAGACCTCAGAAAAATACTATATGAGGCATAAAGCTGTCTTTATCATGAAAAGTAATTAACTAAGGATTTTTTCGCCCTGCCAGGGTGTGGCCAAGTTATCCAAAGTGCCGGATTATCGAGTGCCGAGTTTTCGAGGCTCTACTGTATTATTTTTAATAAATTTACCTGATTTCTCGATGTAAAAATTTAAATGTTAACATATTGGCAGCAATACGTAGACTGGAAAGATAAAAGCATTATAAATGATACAGAAATTGAGAAAGAGATATATTTAAGATGATTGTCCTTTTATATATAATATCAAAAATGCACCTTGCATAGTCTTTATGACAAAATGGAACAGAAAGAAAACTTTTCCCAAAATAATTCACAAAAAATGGAAAGATAAAATGAGAGTTCTTCTGAACCGGAGAAAATTTCTTTACCTGAACAAAGAGATTACATAAATGTTATCACATAAATATATAACATATACAAAGGAATTGCTAGGTAGAATGTACTTCATTAGAATTATGAGGAGGAGCATAGTCAATGGATGACAGGAACAATTCTAACTGTCTTGTGGCTTCCATTGTCATATTTGATGTGGTATTAATAGCACACCTAAACAAGTGTTTTTTTTTTAAAAGATAATTCATTAATAATGATCTTTACTAGATGTTACAATAGCTAAAAAATTACCTTAGATTATTTCTTTGTAATAATACATTAGCAATTTCTCTAAGACATTGGAGGGTCGATTCAAAATTTGTCTGTTCAGCCAAATTTTTCATGAATTTCATCTGAAAAATAAAAATTTTGTTATCAAATTTGGCACAACAATTTATATGATAGAAACTCAAAATCTGTTTACTCTTGAAATTAAAACAAATGTGTGAGTTGGCAATTCTCATCAATCATTCAAATATCCATTCAAAATTATACAATAGACTCCACTTATTGCAATCATTTTGGGATTTGCCTATACTGATGATGATAAAATTATTAAATTATGTTACCTAATGTTATCAAACTATGATTAGGAGAAATTCTAATTTCATTAAATCATGTAAAATAAGTTAAAAATGTATAAATTGATGCTTTATTAATAACTAGCTTACCCGTCACGCATTGCTGTGATCTCAGAAGAAAGGAAATTCAAGCAAACTCGTTATGATAAAATTCAATTTACATTTTATTATTTTTATTGAAACTTATTATTATTATTAATTTTCATCGGAAAAACATTTCAAAGTGTCGTTTCAATTCTATTTATTTATTGGAGTGTTTGTGGATACACGATATTTTTTGTTTTTCCGTCTG